CCCCCCCCCCCCCCCCCTCTGTGTGGTGTAATCTAAGCTTATATCTTACTTTGTTGACCGTCTATCTATATGAGCATTTAGTGCATGTGCACGTCGTCGTAAAAAGCATACCAGTTCCCCCTCAGGTAAACACTGATAACACTCGCCATTTTTACCGTAGTTTGCTCTGTTAGCGCCGTTAGCTGCGAGCCGCTGACTCAGCCGCCGCCATGTAGAGAGCCATTTAGAAGTAATCAAAATGTTCCAAATCATGTAAATAGCAACTTTAAACACTTTTTCTAAAGACTTTTTTTTGCTTATCTAAAAAAAAGTTAATAAATTAATTAAATAAGTTCTATTACAAGCACCAACACTACAACTGCTAGTGTAGATGTAGTAGTGTAGAATTTGCAAAGTTAGGACTTAACTGAAGATATATCTGATCAACATATAAACTCCAGAGTCCAAACAGTGCCAATGTATCAGTATGACCTTTTTTTAAGTGTCCAGTGAGCTGCCATTGTTCGCCAGTTACGGACAAAACACAGTAATTGGTGCTCTCTGTGTTGCACGCCAGTTGCACTCAGTCCTCAGTGGCCCACTCTTACTCCACGGCCCATTTCCTGTCTCATTTTCTATCTTTTAAGAAGTCCATAATAGCCGAAACAAAAACAGGGCGAGCATTATGCTACATCAGTAATAAGTGGAAACCCTCAGAATGGCCTCTTTCCTTGGCCTGTTTCCTGAACTGAGTATGAAAAAGAACAAAAAGAAAACAGAGCAGGGCAGGAACATGGAAAGTTTACCTTTACAGTATACACTTACTAATTTATACTGATCCTAAACAGAAAAGCATAGACACAATATAGAAAAATATACGGTCTGCATTCAACAACAAAATCAGACTTGAATGAATCGACTCGTTGCCGCGTTTTCTGACGAATGGGAAAATCATGCAGTTAAGGGGGTTAATTTATTCCTCATCTTCATTGAGTGAGGGAGCGGAGCGAGGAGGGGAGTAAAGGAGCGGGGCGGCATTGATTGTATGTATTTATCTCCCGCTGGTCAGCACTCTGGCTTGTTGCTGTGCACTCGAGGTCATTCTCCACATTGAATCCCCATTGATCTCCTCTTTAGAGCCTCCTGAGACACCCCCAAAGCTCCATTATGAGAGTGATCACACTCTTAAATCGTGCACCAATAAACACGTGTGCATACTCATGAATAGAGCAACACAAAACCCATGCCGCAAGTACATTAGCATGTTTTTTTGCACAGGGGCATGTGCATCATTATGCATGCACAAACAACCGCACACACGCACACATTTTCGCAGCGAGGCCCCCCCCCCCCCCCCCCCCTTCACACTCGCACACTGATCGGTAGAAACCAAGTTTAACGCTGCCTCTCAATAATTCCTTGTACTGTGCCTCCTAACTGCGTGTAAGAGCATGCATTAATTCAGACATCATTTAATAAGACACCCAGCCAGACTGCCTTGACCACTCCATAGAAAGGTGCTGAAAGGCAATTACGCTGGGCAAATAGCCCTTCAGGCTCCAGGGGCCTAAGCCCTTCCATCCAGAGGAGGGGAGAGGGGGGGGGGAGGGGTGGACTTTAAACACCAGAGTTGAAAGAGTCACTCTGGGTTACACAGTATTCCTCGCCCTTTCAGTCAGACACAGCGATGGTGGATCTAAATGAGTTGACCTGCAAAATGGAGTCACGACCTACCCGACCTGGGTCGAAAATGGGTCAGAACAAACCGTCAACACAACATTGGCACATTATCACCTCATAAAATTACTGTTGCAAGCGCGTTAGCAAACAGCTACATATTTATGCATTGAGCAGGCAAACGTACAGTAAGTACAATATTCCTTCTCCTTTTTGCTCTGTTTTGGTCTCCACCAACGCCTTCGGAAAATACTTGACTTTTAGCAGCCAAATGCTCCATAATGTCCACCAGCTGGCTAACCTATTCTGTATGCTACCTGCACAGCACCAAACCGCCAACAATCAGTTTGTCAAAGCTTTTTGTTAAAAACGGCTGACTGTGATCGTGTTTTAGGGGTAATATGTATGTAACTCCATTGGCAGATTTGGGTCTCTGTGAAGAGATAAACCTTTCAACAGCAGTGTTGTATAAATGAGTCAATAATAAAGCAACTTCAAACACAGGTTGAAGTGTCCTCAGCCCGTCATCATAAGTGGATGTCCTATATGAAAGCGGTATCAGTTCCTACTCCCTCCAGACACTCCTGGCTCCGTTCTCGAGGAGTGCATTACAATTAAAGTAAAGCCGCTGGGGGGGAACTAAAGAGAAGGCTGGCAAGTAGTACAGTAAAAGGCAAGAGGCATTTACAGTATGTAAGGCTCAGCATAATATCATTAGAGTTATATTCCTCTAAAGGTGCAGATCAAGGTAGTTTTTACAAGTTATTCCTTGGGTTGACTTAAGCAGGAACGTTTGCAGCTCTGCAGACAATTTAAACGGCACTGATATATCCAGGACACTCTCTAAAAGTTTTTTGTTGGTTTGTTTTTTAATTCTGCAGAAACACGTAGATACCATGGGTGGGGTGGTGGGGGAGCAGTCATAATTGAGAATCATGACGGCACAGATGGTGCTTTTCCTTTTTCTTCCTCCTTTAAGTCATTTTGCAGAATTAATTATTAGAGGAAGATTAGTGGCTGTAAGTATTCCGTATGTCACAACAACAGAAAAAGCATTCATCATTATGAATATTAAAATGAATGGATATTAAAAGCATTACGAATATGCCAAGGTATTCCACGTGAAGAATACCACAGCCTGTCCAATAAATTTAGCTGGGAACAGTACTCAAGTCTGCAGCTTTTTCCTGCTGAATACCCATGGTACTAAATAGAAAAAAAGTACTTGTGAATGGCAGGAGGAGGAGGGGGAAGGTGGAAAAGTGAATAGAGTTGAAAGTGGGACCTACCATTGTTGCCGAAGTCCAGCGAGTACTTGACCACGTGGTAGTTATTCCACACGTACAGCAGGTTGTCCCTTGGGTTGTAATCCACTGCAGCGATATACTGGTAGGAATTCGGGAAAGGTATGCCAACCGTCATCTCCTTGCTCTTATCCGTGTTGTACATGTAGTCGATTTTGTTCCCCGTCCCTTCGTTGTCGTCGTCTTCGTAGACGGTCTTGACCACGTACAGGACTCCGCAGATCATGAATGCGTTGGACGCGGATCGTTTGTCGTAGCTGGTGTCCCACGAGCCCTCGATGCGCAGGGTGTAGGGGTTGAGCTGGCTCACCACGATGCGCCCGTTGTTCTGCTCCGTCGCGTAGATCACCCACAGCCCGTTCTCATCCACCGCCAGGTCGATGTCGGACTTGCCTCCCCAGCGGTAAGGCGAGGTGTCGTGGTAGTTGGCGTTGGCGATGATGGCCTCGCCGCTCTTGATGCGGGTGCGCAGGTCGAACTTGACAATGTTGCGGGTGCGCTCCTTATTGAAGAACAGCGCGCCATCGTAGACGACAAAACCGGTTCCATCCACCCGGTGTGGCAGTTTGTAGGTGGTGGTGGGACGGCCCGCGATGAAGTCCTCCTTTGACGAGTACTCTGTCAGCGTGTCCGTGCGGTACGGCGTCCAGGGCATGTAGTAGATCTTGTCCGAGGCCTGCAGCGGGTCTTTGCACCACGCGCCTGACTGGTGGTCCGACTCGAAGAGATGCTCACTTTGGTACACTCCTCGCAGAATGCCAGGGCAGAGAAATACTGATGGAACAAATAACAACGCATTAGATCCATTTTTATTCTGTAAAATGCCAACCATTTTCTCCCCGGATTTTGTGACAATGCCTTAGAAACGTTTGCCTCTTTTCATAAATGTCGAATTGTGTTGCAACTCAAGCTTAACCACCAGTGAGTGACGATGACACGATAGGCCTACTGTGTTGTGATTCGGATGTTGTATAGTTACTGTCATTCTTAAGAACAGCAACAGCATGCCTCCCATTGAACAGATAATACCCTGCTCTCACAGCTAAGAGAAAAAGAGAAAATGGCACATTTTGTTCTACTCCCCACCCCTTTCCTTCAATTCCCTGCTTCTCCCTCCCTCCCTCCCCAGCTCCTCATTAGTCTCATAGCTGTTTCTTTCTTTTCCCTTCCCTTTCTATCTCTGTCAGGAGCAACCAACTGTAGAGCCGAACATGCCTTTTATCGCCTGCTGTTTCTGCAATTGTTACAATAATTCATTTCCCACTCGGTTCGCGGTATTCCCATCTTTGAATACTGGGGTTATGTTTTACGAGTGATGTGGGAGACGTAATAAATTCTGGGAAGCCAGTGCGACCAGAGTGGTGGGGACCTCTTTGTAATTTAACTGGAATGTTGTCCCATATACAGAGAGACGGGCCAGATGTGCACTGTGGTCTCCCAATCCGTCCCCAATAACAATTTCCGATCCCACGCAAAAAAGGGGGGGGGGGGCTGGGAATGTTGATTGAGTTTCCATGGGCTGTTTCAAAGCACTGGAGCAATTTCCATATCATGGGAAAGCATTTTGAAATATTAAATGTCAATGTGATTCTCTGTTCATTGGCCCCTCATAAAAACGTGCTCGACCCGCGGAGAGTTTGTTGAGTGACATTCTGCGCGATACCATGAAATAATATGGGCCCGGAGTGTGTCTAATGAGAACCAGTGTTTCTAAATTGCCTCTATACGCTGAGATCAAGCTGGCTTAAAATAGCAGCAGTGACTTTGAAAGGGATGTCATTCCACCACGAGGTACAAAACGCTTCAGGCGCTGGCATCAAAAAGTGACACCCCCAACCCCGCCGTTGTTTTTTTTTTTTTAGCATGCGTGAATGCGGGGAATGCTCATTTCACAGGCTTACCTTTTTGTTCCACTTCTGCATGAGCCATAGGCAAACAGATTTGAAGAGGGGGGAGAAAAAAAGAGACAGAGAGAGAGAGAGAGAGAGAGAGAGAGACAAGAGACAAAAATAGATTAATGATGCAATAATAAGGAAATCATGATAATACAATCTCAGATCTTCATAATCATTCTCATATTTCATCCTAACCTTGTGAGAGTGCCAGGATGCTCTCCATGTGTGATCGGTAATAACATTACGTAAGCATCTGAGGGGGCTGCGCTGCAACGGGGTAGCTATCTGACAGTAATGCATCTTGCATATGTCCCGCACACATATGGGGGGGCAGACACACACGTGCCATGCAGACACAGAGAGAGGCAGAGGAATGCTGATAGCATGATTCACAGTAGCTATGGCGACCCTATAGTGCGGGACGAAATAGATAACGAGCTCTTTAACGTATGCTAATAGCAACAGAGCAACAAAAACCGGAAAATTGATTTGATCACCGGGATTGCATTTCAGTCGCCCCGCAACGAAACGTGCACACTCATATGGAGCCTCTTAAACATATGAATTCCATACCACCTTGCTCCCAGGGGGGACTGAGTGGAATGTGAACATGGCAGAAACCTAATCCTGCAGGCAGTGCCCTTGTGTCTTTCAAGACCGTTAGAGACCTGCTGAATGGAACCAGTCCCCCGAGAGAGGATTGGAGGGGAGGGAAGAGGAGACGGTCCTCAAAGGAAAAACATTTGGAAGGACTTCCGGATGGCACGTGTTTATTTAGAAATATATGTATATATATATATATATATATATATATATAGCACAATTGCTGTACATATTGCATGGTCCATGCATAAATTCTTTACATCCAAAAGTCATCACCAGCCTGGAGACGTGTATATATACAAACACTTGTGATGCGCAGAAACATGCACACACACACACACACATCAAATCCTCGGCTCATGAAAAATGCATGGTAACTGGTGCGGCTTAGCACAACTCCCCGATAAATAAGCAATCTCTGGGAGGAGATCGTGTTAAACCTAAAACAAGTGTGTGTGTGTGTGTGTGCCGTTACTAGTAAAGATATAAAACGGTTCACCACAAGGAAGCAGTTCCCCTGTGAGAGAAAGCTGTGAGAGAGAGCAGATAGTGTGTCCGTGCAGAGCATGGAACGACGGATATTGATGTAGCGAACACGCACACACATAAACAATACAAAGAGACACATTGTGGTTGAGGCGAGGGGGATTAATGACACAGAACAACAAGGACACCTGAGGTTCTCATACAGCCTTCCCAGACACAAAGCAAAAACGCGCAGTTCAAGGTTGACAGCGGCTAATAGATTTCAAAATGAAAGTGTGGCAGCAACAAGTACACCAAATCGCAAACAAAATGTCAAACAAATGTCATTCAATTTGTGCCGCCGCTTGTTGTTTCGCCGGATTAAGGGACGACCCCGTTGGTGACCTCATCGCCAGATTTGGTTTTGATCTCCGTTTTTTCCCCCACAAATCGCAGCCGTTCATCGGCTGGATTCGACAGAGTGCATACATACAGTAGGCCGGCAGGCACGTTCAATGAAAGGTTTTCCCAAGGTCGGCTCAAGCACGCGCGCCGATGCGACAGATGAGAGGCCTTTTGTAGCGCTGCCGATTTAGCAACAGGAGTGCTGAGAAGAAAAGAAAAGCATGGACTACGACAACTCAACTTCTTTCCAGAAAAGCGTCAGAGAGAGTATCTTTGACCGATCGTTTGCAAAACCACTTAGACTGCACTATTGACTAGTTCAAAAAAAAGAAAAAAAGGTCCTCTCATTTATTCCTAGCAAGGCTTTGGATGAATAGTAGAAAACAACGGCCCTAACAGAAGCGCTCTGCTGTGACAGCGTGTCACTTGTCTCGTTTCATATTCGTTAAAAATCATCTAAATATTCATTATCTGCGTTACTTTCTCCTCTCAATCTTTTCCCTGAACTTTAATCACATGAACAGCTCGGATGCCTTCTCCGTCTTCTCTCTCTCTGTTTCCTAAACATACTCGCACAGAAGCCGCGTAAACCCGACTGTGCCGCGGTGTAAAGATAATTAGCATTTTTATTGAAAGCATATGGTTTATTAAGTAGGTATTCGTTGAGGAGGAAAGACTGGCTGTGTGTGTGTGTGTGTGTGTGTGTGTGTGTGTGTGTGTGTGTGTGTGTTTGCGTGGGCATGCTCGTGTTCCTGCAGACGAGTGGCGACAGCGGTCCTCACCACCACTATCTCTGATCTCCGATCAGCTCAGCCCAGCTAAAGCCCAAGGTCATTTGTGGGAACAAGGGAACAAGGGACCGCCCCCCCCCCTGGCCCCTCTCTCTTCATTATTCTATTATTCCTCTCCGTCCTCACTCCGTCCTCGCTCGCCCCCTTCACGCTGGGCCCCTTCTCCTCGTTCTCCGTCACGTGCTCTGTATCTCTCCTCTGTATCCCCCCCTCCTCCCTCACCCTCAAACCCAAACCCCGTCCACCTCTCGCACCGTGTCCTTTTTTTTATCAGTTAATTCAGTCTTTCTGCTCTTCGTCTGCTGCCCTCGTCTAACCTATTTTCTCTCTCTATCTCCGTCTCGGCCGTCGCTCTCGCTCCATTTTCGCTTCAGTCTCTCTCTCTCTCTCTCTCCTTCTGTCTCTTTGGTTCCCGTCCATCTTTTCCCCTTGATGTCTCCAGCAAGCACGCAAGCGTCTCGCACATGTGCACACACAAACACTCACATACAGTAAACTGTACATGCACACACAAGGACAGAATCCTGGCCAATTGTTTCCACGACAACACACACACACACACGCACACGCGTGGCTCTTCTCATGTTATCATGATGAAGTTATTCCAAAGGTCCAATCTGACAGAAGTCTTTAATTGGACAGACAAGAAGGTGATTTTATCTTTTAATTAGCTCTCCTACTGAGCCACGTCTATTGTCTAAAATAGACTGCATGGGTATTGCATAACATATCACTGGCTTTTCTGATTAATACACTAAATGAGGTAGTAGGCTAATTGGTTCATAACGACAGTCGGAGAGACGGGGGTCCGCTGCATGAAGATGAGGAAATGGATAGACACAATCCCGGCCTTTTTTCTTTTAACATGACCACGAATGATACGATACTCATCATCATATATCTTTTTTCCTTTTTTTCTGCAGCATTAGCTCATCTGTAGAGATTAACATGCATCTGGCTTGGAGAAGTACTTTGTACAGTAGCGTGCTAATGTATTAGATATTTATAGTCCGCCTGCAGTGCCATGAACAAGTATACACAGGTGACTAATTACTGCCAAAGCTAGCCGGGCTAGTTTTGGCACACGACCGCCACACACTCGTACCGCGAGGAGAGCCAGAGAGGGAAAAGGGAGAGAGAGAGAGAGAGAGAGAGAGAGAGAG